TCAGCTAGCAGGAGGGTGAGTTCCTTCTGCTTGTTTCCCATTTGACCCAGCAGCATAAGGAATAGGAATAAAAAGAGGTCCAACAGGCTGCTACTCAGGACATCTCAGGGGCAGAAGGGGTCAGTTCTTGGGTCAGCCAAAGACCACCTGTGTGAGCCACAAAACTTGCACTCTGAACCTCCAAGCTGTAAAACAGGGATAACACTTCCCTGCCTGTCAGTGATTTTGTGAGGCACTCAGATATCATAGTAATGAGAGCCCCATACCAAACGACTGACAGAACATCGTAAGAAGCAATTTTGCTTGCACAAAAATTCCCAAACACTCAGCATCATCATATTCCCTTCTTCTTCTGTCTGCTCAGTGCTGTGCTCATATTGCTGTCCTTAGAGCCACATTATAGCTGTCCTACATGAGCTGGATTTACTAGCTGCTGCTCTCTCAGAAGTACCAAATTCTGAGGGATTGCCCAGTCTACCCATTGGGCCATTTGACTAGATGCTAAAGGAGCAACATGCCAGCAGGAACATGTCAGCAGCATCTCCCTGAAGATGCCTAGACCCCTCTCAGGGACTCCTCCCTCACGCTCTCCTGCTTTGTTTCTTCTTCCAGTCAGAGAATGGACTCGAGTTCCACCCCCTGTGGGATGAAAGGGGCTACTGCTGCGCTCAGTGTCGCCGGGGCAACCGCTACTGCCAGCGGGTGTGTGAACCTCTGCTGGGGTATTACCCCTACCCCTACTGCTACCAGGGAGGAAGGGTTATCTGCCGAATCATCATGCCATGTAACTGGTGGATAGCACGCATGTTAGGGCGTGTATAGGGATGCTCACAACTAGCAAAGCAATAAAACTACAACAGATATATGCTCTCACTGTAGAGAGGAAACTGCAGCCTTTAAGCACTTGCATGCTACCTATATCCTAGCCTTGCCATGTTACAAGTTATCTTGTATTACCAGTAGCTAAAGCACAGGTCATTAACTGCTTGATTACAGCTGAATACTGCACCCTGCCCTGAGCAAGAACAGCCAAAGGTCCTCTGCCATCAGCAGATAGCACCCGGAGGGTTGACAAAAACTATATTTCATGGGTTGGGGTTTGTGCTGAGCAGTAAGAAATGAGACAAACAATAAACACATTCTTTGACTGATTGCAAAGGAAACAAAGTTGTTTGGTGGCAGTCCATGATACTGAATGGGCTTGAAAGGTGATCTAATTGTGCATCTTCGTGCCTGGCTCAGGTGACAGGTTGCTGAGTGGGTTCAGCTAGCTATGAACAAAGGTTCCATATTGCTCTATCACCATTCCTATAAATGATCCCTTTACAACTTACAGGCTGACAGGCTATACCACTGACAAATCTCTAGAAGTAGAGATCACATGGAAAAGACTCTTGTAGGATTACCAGGGGCCATTAGTTCAGCCTAAAACCAGGTGCTGAAGGAAAAAATGCTGATGGTTTGAAAGTTGGCACTCTGCCCACTGCAGTCAGCACCAAATCAGTGTGTCATCAACACAGTGATCACAGATGCTGAGCTACAATAGTTGCTACCTTTTGGATGAGATCCAAGAGCAGGTACTTGTCCCATTTGTGATCATTACAATATCCATGATACTTTTCCCAAAAGGAAAGCCCACAGTCCTGGCTGGTTTCCAACTTGAATAATTACATCTTGCCTGCTTAATTTCCCCCCTGCCATTCTGATTGGACACTGCTCTTCACTTCCATTCCTAAGGAAAAATCTTCCCCCATGGACAGGGCTGGGAGGACCATTGATCTGAAGGGACACACAAATTCTGCCACTGTTAGTAAAAAGCCACAGTGCCAGATGGCTAATACAGAAACTTCTACCTCTTCCCTCTAGTGCCTCTCATCAGTGACTCTGTGAAGACTGTACCTAGAAAAAGCTTAGGGTACACAGATGCTGCAGAACACATATTGAGAGCTTAAATCACAAGCAGGTGCACAGGCACAAATCAAGTTGCACATATAAGCCCAAAATAAGGCATTAAGAGTTTTATATATCAACAGGAGTTAAAGGCATGGAAGGGAGAGCCTGTGTAACTACAAATAGGTATAGCCTCTCTGAGGTCAGGCAAGGGAAAATCATTTGAAATGGCTGCCTCACTCCAAGCAGATGACATGTGGGAGATCAGGGAGGAGGTGAACGTAGACTGCAACAAGACAAACAGAAGCTGCTGCATAGGCCTCTAGTGAAGCTCTAAGGCTAGGGACAGACATTGAAAATCCTGAGCCTAAATTGACTCAATCTTTGCAGGTTAGTCTAACCTGCCTAGGCTAAACCAGTTTGTAACCATAAAGACATCCCCTATGGACTGAAAAAATGTAGGCACGTGCCTGCACTGGCTCAGGCCAGAAGCCAGGGGGTGCTAGAGCAGCCCTCCCTTCCCTTCCAGAGTGCTGAGCTGAGGGGGGTGTGACCAGACTCTGGCAGGACAAGAGTTCCCCACCCCCTCCTGAACAGCCTAGCGAGGAATTGATAGCACAGTGTGTATCACCCCCAACTCAGTGTTTATCACCCCCTTAAGAAAACAACAGACGGACATTACCAGCTACCTGTTGATTCTGCCTTTGTCTGGTCTGCCACAGCGTGGACCGTAGCCAGCATGTGGTCTGCTAGCTAATGCTATGTGTCTGTATAAGGCAGAGGGGACGGGGGAACCCTGCTTAAAGGGGAGGGGGGAACAGAAGCCAGGCAGATGCCAGCAGTCTCTGCTGGAGCTGCAGCCAGGGAGCAGAGGGGAGGGGACAACTCTGCTGTGAAGCAGAGCGCCCTGTGCATTCCAGAGAGCATGCTGGAATCCCAGGGCAGCCTGGTTTAACTTAAACCAGCAAGGGGTCTGGGACAGACATTGCATAAACCAGGTTGAGCCAAATTAGTTATGTCTGATAGTACATTCCACCAGGTTTATCTCCAACTGGTTTCAACCATTTTCAAATTGGTTTATGTTCACTGAACATCTGTTCTGTTACCGATTTAAACCAGTTTCTGATCACTTAAACTGGTTTATGTGTAATGTCTGTCCCTAGCCTAAGCAAGGACGATACTCCATCCAGATCCCACTAGGGTTTTAAATCAGTCCTCTCATCATGAAATGGTGCCTTCCACCTTCCACAACTAATTTACTTCCACAACCCTGGGAAGCAAGGAGACATTACCCACTTCAGAGCTCTAGTCAGGACTATACCACTGAGCTCTTAAACCAGGGGCGTCCAACCTTTTTGAATATGGGGCCAGATCATGAACTTTTTAGCCCCCAGTGGGCTGGCAAGCCATATTCAAAGACCTCACAGGAAGTAGTATCACATCAGGAAGTGATCTCATGTGACCTTTGACACCAACGAAGTTGCAGTAAGTGTTAATTAAATGGGTCTGGAAATGTGGTTTAAAATTGAAAATAAAAATAATTTGGTCTGGTAGCACTGTTTTATTTTAAACACCCCCCTAGCAGTGCTGGTGAGGAGCATACCACCCCGCTGCACCCTTAATTCCCTGCCTTTATCCACATGGAATGCCACAATTTGCAGACAGGTAAAAATCATTTTTGAATGCAAAACCTCTGTTGACATCATGCTATATTTACTCCAGAGAATTGTTGCAGGGATCTGATTTTTCCAAAGGTTAGCAGAACTTTCTATTACCATGGTTTCATGCCCCCTAGTTTTCAAATACTTGGTTGAAATGCATCACAGATCTTTAATTTCTTATTTACAGGTGCTCTCTCAGGGCAACATCCTGCCAGGGGGGGCAGGAGCGGGTGCTCACACAGCCTGTCCAGTTCAGCTGCGGTCTGGGGGCACAGGGGTCAAGGGGTGCTGCCTGACCCCGCCGTGTCCTCCTTGCCACCTGGGCAGCCTCGAGGATGCTCCCACACCTGCGTGCCTGGGCTCAGCATCCATGGGGACGTGCGGGGACCCTACACGGGGGTGTGGGACGTGCAGGGACACCCCCTTCTCCCTCTCCCCCAGGGCAGCCTGAGCCCAAGCCCGACTGGCAGGGCTCCCTCCCTCCCCGGGGCCCACAACTCACCACGCCCAGCGCGATGTCTGCGGGCACAGGGAGATGCAGGGAGACGGGAGTGGTGCCGGCTTCCCACCCCAACAGCCATAGCCACAGCAGCAGTATCTCCCACTGGCCCAGCTGCAGCATCCCTCCGAGCCGGCATCCACACCCCCTGCGCCCACCTGCCCACTGCACCGTGACCTGCTCCAACACGCATGGCTGGCGGGGACTGGCAAGGGGTGGGGCGGGGCATGCAAATGAGGGAGGGAGGGGCCGGGCTAGGAAGGGACACCATGAAAGGAGGGGGGAGGGGAGGAGCTGCACCACATTGGCAACATCAAGCTGACGCGGTGCGTGTGGAAACCTTGTCCCTTCCCCAGCCCTTCAGCAGCCATTAGGAAGCTGCTGAGGGCCTGGAGGAGGGACAAGGGGTGGGAACGAAAGTAAATAGTGTTTACTTTCATTTCCCATTGCAGCACCTCATGCCTCAGAAAATGGCTTGGCGGGCCACATCATATGTTGGACAAGCCGGTCTTAAACAGCCCTATAGCTCAGGAAGAAGAAAAGTCCCGTTATACCCATGAGAGGAAAACAAGGCACAAGGTGATGATGCAACTTGCTTATGGTGAGAGAGCAGGCTTTGGGGGCAAGGTAAGGCTCCAGAGCTGCAGTTCAGTGTGCTGGTTTCCCAAGAGCATGTCTCTTCAACAGAGTCATTGGTGAAAGCTCCAAATGCTCCACCTACAACATTCAGAAAAACAGGACAAGAAACACCATGGACAATTTTTTTGCCTACCAGTCACACAGACACTTTCAGTCCATCATTACTAATCAGAAACAAATGATACATTCAGCATGTAACCATGTTAAGGGCTAAAGATCGAAGTCCCTTCTTTTTCACCCTTTAAAGCATTTGTCTTAGAAACAGAAGGAGTGTATTTGTTACTGGATAGTACATGACAAAAGGGCAAATATCCCGTGATGCGTGCTGTTCAGGAGAAATGTGTCTGCTCTCCCATGTGTGGTCTTCTTGATATAAAACCTTGAAGCAGATGCTTTGTTATCATTATCCTCTTTGATAACAGCTACTGAATTTGCTACAACATAACTTCCATGTGGTGGTGAGAATCTGTCAATAGTCCAGAGAAGTAGTTCAAATGAGCTTCCGAATGTTTAGATCTACATTGCTGGGATTCTGCTGCATCTTTAAGATAACATCTTTGGCTAGCCCCAAGAGAAATGAAGAGATTGAGCTGTAATCAGTCTGCCCCTCTCTTGGATTCAGTAAACACTTTTCTTGAATACTTTACTAATGCACACACAAAATAAAAATCCCCACCTTTCCTTATAATTCCAGCAGAATCACAACCCATTTGCAAGACCCATTTGTAATTATTGCTTCTAGAGTCCAAGGAATAAGCTGTTTTCCTGTGCCAGAGTCAATCTGTACTCATTTATCCAGTTCCCAAAAGCAAATCTACCCCAGAGCTCTGCATAAAGGCCCAGGCCTGGCTGGATACAGAATTGCCACTTTGGCTCCTACCATCTGAAGCTTAAATCTTGATGAGGCATATCCAGTCCGGATATATTGTTAGTGTCAGGAAACATGTGGATCCTTTTACACCCCAAAGCAGAATTTCTTCATTCCTTTTTTTAAATTCTATTTATTAGACTTTGTTCTGGCATCAGACCAGCGTTTCCATCAAAGGAAACTACTCACTGCTCAAAATCCCAAGGAAAGTAATTATCAAAGAGTTAAACTCTGAAAGCAGTATGCAAACATCATCAAAGGTTCACCGGTACTACAAATGCAAAAGGGATGAGCAGTAATATATGACCTCACTGGAGCACTCACATTAATAATCCAGTGCAATGACACAATCTTTCCCAACACAATTGTAAGATGTGACACTGCACTTGAAATCTATTGAATACTTAGTAGATGCTTGGCACAACTTAAGCCTTGGTGCAACACAGGAGTGGGAGGCAGACCCTTCTAAGCTTTTCAATGCCAGGGAGTGGCAAAGGTCAAAAAGGCCCCAAGCAGAGATCAGAGCATAATAAGGGCCACTGTTTCCCTAAGGAGCTGTTATCATGAGGATGAGCCTCCAGATGGTCCAAACTTTGCTCATTATACAACTTTGGATAAAAGACTTCAGACTTTTTCTGACTCGATTTCCCCAACCGTAAAATGAGGATAATAATCAGACTCATAAAAAGTCCCTGGAGGTCCTTGAACAAAAAACACCACACACACACAGACACACACACACACACACACACAAACTTTACAATACTCTTTATTTGGCCATTTCTAGCAATGCATTTTCACAATTAACATGAGATATTTGTTACAGAACAAACTGCATTTAAAATACTGCCCCTTATTAGACTGTCAGTTCCCAGGGCAGAGATGATCTCTTTGCTTTGGATTTGTATAGCACATGGTGCAGTCAGATCCTGGACCATGACCAGAATTCTTAGGAGCTATCACAATACAACTTACTATACCAGTGACGTTGGTGGTCCCACTAGAAGAGCCATTTCTAATACACTTTTTAATGATCGGACTGTGTATAGCATATTCAACACTCCAGAATCAGACCAGTGCCTAGCATTAGCAAATCCTCAGGACCCAGGCAGGCTGGATTAGATTTAGATAGAATTAAGACAGCCTGGCAAAGGTTGGTGCTATATATGCTCTGAAATCAATATGCTCCCTGGGCTGCCCTCTGCTGGCCAGCAACTGGAGCTGCAACCACTTTACAAACGGGATTTGTTCTCTTTCCTTTCACACTCCATAAATATTGCATTGAAGCAAACAGGCTTGTATACAACACAACATCAAAGATAATTATACCATGTAACAAAACAGCAGAGGAAAACCTGATTCAGAGGCCACCAGGGATAAAAGTGGGACGGACGTGGGAGTAAAAGCTCTGAGATTTGCTCCTGCTCTTGTTCATGCTGCCCTTGCTTGTTTAAATTACTTCTGCTGCCATACTGGAAAGGGTAAAGTGTGTAGGGTAAGAAGTGGCAGGAGGAGGGGAGCACTCAGGACTCTGGTTTATGTACACTCAGGAAAATGGAACAGCATGCAATACACACAATGAAGTGGGCTGTGGGATCCTTCATTTTAAAGTCCTCCAAGAAAGACTGTAACATATCCCCTCACCTGCAATACAAATTACAGTAGCTTTTCACCAGCAGCCTTAGATTCCTACTGGTCTCCTACAACTCCCTTAGGTTCCCAGAGCATGCAGGAATGCACATCAACTTCACCTAGTCATGGCTTCCATAACATCTGCACACTGCAGATTTGTAGTATACCTCGAGGCACATGGGATGAATGAGCCAGGAGAAACGCACTTCATACCAAGACCAGTCACAGGCAGCAGGCCAGCAAGAGGGAAAATCAGCAAGATCCAATGACAGAGCCCCAACAGTACCTTAGGACCAACTCTTGATGGGGCAAAACCCCTAGCGGAAGGCTTTGCCCATGCTCTTCCCAATGTGACTGGACCCAGGGAGCGTAGGAGTGGGTGGGAAGGTGTTTTTAACCATTGCTTTTTCACCACACTGAAGAGAGTAGGATGCTGATCACATCAGAGGCTCAGCTGTTTCTTCCCTATTTAAAATCCTGTTGTTAATTCAAGGACTTTCCACAACCATGTGTATAGCCTGCATGCAAAGCATGTCTATAGTATGTGGGTGGCACTAATGCAAAGCCACATACCTACCTGCTGTAATACTGGCCTTAAGGGACCAACCCATGGTCAGAGCAGGACAGTCTCCCTCCTCAGGCCATCCATGCATGCTCTACCAAGACTGCCCACACGTGCAGCAGTGTAACAGCATGGACACTTGGAACTGATCTTAGAATGATGTGCTTATTTTGGGTAAGCAACTAACCAGCCATCAGATCACAGTTCAGGTGAATCTGCAGGAGCATCAATGGCAGAAGGCATCATGAAGTGATTAGTACAGAGGCCATAAATGCAGTACTTTACATAGAGCCCCAAAAGGGACTAACAGAAACTAATTTGAAAGTGAACAACTAAACTAGAGCCAGATCAAGTGAGCCCAGTAATTGTCAGCTGACACGGGCAACACAAGCCAGCCAAAAGATTATTTCGTCAGGCACATGCTTCTCTGCACTGCCTTCACAACTGAGAGAGGTTTAACTGAACACGACCCTACACCACCATTTGGTTTTAGCCAGTCCCTGTCTGCACACTAGTTAGAATTGGCCGACATCCATATTGTTGTTTTAATGGTCTAATGTGCTTGGGCCTTGCCCCGAAAATCTTGAAAAATGTGTAATGCAACCAGCCAAAAGCTAACAAGGGCTTATTTACAGAAGTTAAATAAGGCCTAAAGTTTCTTGGGATTACCCTTCAAGTTTCAGTCAGCAATGATACCCAAAGCATAAGTACCTAAGCAGGGGCACCCAAGATATATATGTTATCTAATTCATAGGGCTCCCCACAGGTCCAGAAATTTGGTGGCACAGCAAATGGTGATAGCATTAATTGCCATCACTTGTCCGGGCACCAAATTTCCGGACCTGCAGGGAGCCCTGTGGGCTGAATCCAAGGTGCAGGGCTGCATATTGTTCATGGGGCTGCCCGCAGGGCCAGAAATTTGGTAGCAGAAAGCCACAGGAATCAATGCTGCAGATGCCAAATTACAGTCCTGTAGACTAGACTATGTGACCTTGTGTTCTGGGTCCTGCCCACAGACCAGCCCCATGCCACTCCTCCAACCTCTGGGGCTGGATAAGTAGGACACCCCTGCCAAAAGCAATTCACTTGAGCTCTGAAGCTGCAGTTCGTGCAATTATACTCCACCCATCAGGTTTTGGGGCCAAGACAGGTTGCCCCTCAGCAGCATTAGTTTTGGCAACAGGACAGAATTAATGAGGGGCAAAGAGTCTTCTTGCCAATAAGGGCTGGGCTCTCTGTTATTCTCTAATAGCTCAGCCGTCCTTTTCTAATTGCTCCTCCTTGACAGCAGTGACAGTAACAGCAGCTGTGCAGACTGGCAGACTGTGCATCTCTGCCAGCACCCCCTTCTCTCAGATGGTTCCCGAGGATTAAATCTCAAATGTGGTGGATAGGATCATTCTGAGAAACCCACCAAACTCAGGTGAAGGAGGAACTTGCTGTGCCCACTACATCCGAAGCCCCAGTGCAGAAAAGCTGAGGGCTGATGATGAAACTGTTCCAAGTTGAAAAACTGAATGACTGTGAGCCAATCCCTCTCCCTGTCCAAGGAGGCATTTCATACAGCAGCCTCTTACAGTTCCTCTGAAAAATCCCAAAGCATGTTACTGATTTAGCCACAAAACATAAAGCAGAGTAGAGGATATGTAAGTTTACACAAGGACTGAAGTCTATCCTGCATAAGATTTACCCAGCACAAAGTCTGCCAGCTCCTGGGATGGAATGCATCAACAGTCTTACACAACAATTTTTAGAGGGGGGGGGGGGGCAGGGGGATGGACATAAATATCTTTCATAATTGAAAATGTAACAACAAGGTTGTTGTGGTTCCAAGGGTTATTGGCTGGCTGTAGACAGATGAATTACGAGGCAGATTTCTTTATAGCTCAGATTCCTCTGTTGAAATCATCCCAGCAGAATTTCCAAAGAGATAAAATTAAACCAAGTTAATATTTTAGAGTAAAATACTTTTATATTTATTGTGTTTCAAGATAAGAGGATTTCTCTTTAATACACAGACAAGTCAAAGCAGCACATAATACTGATGATCAAGTCACACCCAGCTTGGTGGAGAGATTCCTACAGAGACTAAAAAGGTACTGAGAACTACAACACTGAGTCTCATGCTACAATTTACTACACTACAGCCTGATTAGGAGAAAGGAACTAAACGCCTTAAAAAAAAATACATTTATTAAAAAGAGTTATATGAAAACCCCAGTTGGGGAAAGAAAGACCCTGGAAAGAAACCAAGACCATTTTAAGCACAGGGCTTCCGGTAGGCAAGGCAGTGTGTCCCATCAGATCTATTGCAATAGACAACAGCTCTCCCCAACATTTAAGAGCTGCGACAGTGAGAAATTCTGATGGGACAGCGAGTCAGTTGCACAGTGATTTAAATAGCCAACAGTAGAGAAGAAGGAAGGAAAAGAGTGCTATCTTTCCAATGCAAGAGATGCATCTCCAAGGATGAATTTTCTGTGGAGTATGACAGTTCCGAAGAGCCACCATTCTAAGAAATTAACAAAGTGCAGGTAAGAAATGAGAGTAGTGTCACTGTAGGCTCCTTCAATGTGGCATATGAGCTTCCTGTGCTAGAGAAGGGAGTTGAGGGTTGTGGCAGCCTCGAGGAATGCAGTAGTTTTAACAATCTCAGCTACACTAGTTATCCCATTCAGTGTTACATCAGAGTAGTGTTTCAACAATTCCCCAAGTACAACAGAACAGCTGTTACACTTGTTTCCGTGAGCCAGCTGAGAAGATCAGACAGTTCAAACATGATTCCAGCAGACTGGGGAAAGGCATGATTCCAGGAGGCTGGAGGTTGAGAAGTGCTCTGCCAAAGGGGAAGATCAGAAGTTTTCTAAAATTCAGAAAGAAATGGGTTAATGAATAAGTCTCCCAGCTCTAGAGACCAGGATTCCCACACTTTTAAGTCACAGAGTGGAAGGAATTTGGTGGATCTCATCTAATTCCACAGCGCAGACATGCCATCATATAGCATGATCACGTCTATCTTGACAAGGCCCAATATTGGATCCACGGGGGTACCACAGGTTAGACCAGGGGTAGCAATGATCTGGGGTAGAGGGCCATTTAAGGAGTTTTGGTGAGCTGTTTCCACCACCCGGTGTGGTGAAGGGAGGGGGAAAAAGGGGCTGGGGAGATGCCAATTGGATCCTATCTGGCCCTGGGCCCATCTGCCCTAAACCCATTGTGGGGGGTGCCAGATGGTGTGGATGGAGGGCATTTCCATGGAGACTGTCCCAGGACCCTCATGGGAAGGGCAAGCTTAGCCAGGCAGATGGGATGGAGCTGCAAGTGAATGGGGAGCAACATCGTGGAGTAGGGCAGGTGGAAGGAGCCAGGATCATGGCGTAGTGACAGTGTGGGGCTGGGGTGTGGGGTAGGGTAGAGCTGCGATCCACTCCCTGTACATCCCTGTGACGCATGCCTGCCTACAGAACTGGTGCCTGTCAGGGACATGCAGGCAGATCACAGCTCTGCCCCAGGCCCCATGCTGTCATCACTTCACAATCCTAGCCCCAGCCACCCATCCTACTCCCAGACACCACTCCCCACCTGCCCACAGCCACATCTCATCCACGCAGCTGAGCACGCCCTGCCCATGGGGGTCCTGGGCCAGCCTCCATGGAGACCCTGCCCACCCACTTTGTCTACCACCCCCAGTAGTGGGTCTGGGACAGACAGGCAGGGGTGCCTGGTGAGGGGGGCCAGTGCCAGCAGTGGTCATAACCACTTCCAGCAGCAGCTGGAAGCATGAAGGCAGGGAGAACTGCCACCTCAGGGGCTGCTGGTGCCATGGCACCTCCACCCCACTGCAGTGCTGCCCAGTCCTGTGAACTAGAGCTCCCAGTGTAACCAAGAACTGCATGTGGGATTTTTCCCCTAGCGCCCGCTTGCATAACAAGGAGTAATGGGCACAAGTTGATGGAGAGGAGGTATAGATTGGACATCCGCAAAAACTACTTCACAGTTAGGGCGGCTAGGAGCTGGAACCAACTTCCAAGGGAAGTGGTGCTGGCCCCTACCCTGGGGGTCTTTAAGAAGAGGCTGGATGCCTACCTGGCTGGACTCATTTGAGTCCCGTTTCTTGTTTTGGGGTTTTGTTGTTCTCCCGCCCTGGCGGGGGGTCGGGCTAGAAGATCTACTAGGTCCCTTCCAACCCTAAATCTATGAAACTATGGATGGGGTGGGCTGCACGCCACACTAGGTGGCAGCTCCATTCCCATGGACAGTGAAACCAGTTGCATGTGCTATCATCTGGGCTGTCCCCCATGTCTGGGCAGGGCAGGGCAGAAGGACCCAATATGGGCCAGACAGAATCACTTAGCAGGTTGGTCCAAAAGCAGAGCAAAATGTGATGGGCAAGAGGAGGACAGCCAGTCTAAAACAGCAAGGGCACTGCACAGGAACTAGTACTGCAGGAGTAGGGAGTGGCACAGGTTAGGACAGAGGTGGGCAAAATGCAGCCTGCGGGCCAGATGTGGCCCACCAGCCCATTCTATTGGGCCCACAGGGCCCCTAAAAATGTTAGAAAAAAAATTAATATTTATCTGCCCCTGGCTGCCTGTCATGCAGCCCTCAATGGCTTGCCAAAACTCACTATGCGGCCCTCCGCCTGAAATAATTGCCTGCCCCTGGGTTAGGAACATGCTGTGCTGATAGAGCTGATGTCTGAGGAGGAGAGGCAGAAGAATCAAGGGAACAGGCTGCAGCACAGTTAAGTACCAAGATACCCAAGCTGGCACACATGGGACAGACTCCACAGCACCTGTCTCTCTAGCTAGATCAAGGATTTCTACTTCCCTTTAAAATGACTTAAAAGTTGAAGAACTGGTTATTATAAGCTGTCTGCTCTGGTCTCTGAAATAATCATACAGCTCTGAGCAGCCCCTACAATCATGCCACCCCTACACATATGCACACAGGCCTAGAAGCTCCCATACCCCAAGTTCACACATGCACTGCCATACTGGTGCGAACAGCTTGCGCTGCAGAGAAACCTACCTTGGTCAGAGGTGCAAGGCTGCAGGCCACCTGGTTACACCATCTCATACTGATTGTTTGTAATGTACCGGGAAAGGCAGCAGGCAAGAAAAATCCCAACCAGCTGGAACAGGACAACAGAAACTAAGTAGAAATAGGGTCAAAACTGGACAGTGTGTGCCTGGACCCCTCTGCCCCCACAGCAGGTGACTGAAATCTTGAGCACTAGGAGCTTCTGTTTTGGTTTTGTAGAGGTGAACCCTTGGATAAGGGCATTTTACCAAACTAAAATATGGTTTCCTTTACCCACCATCAGAATTAATAAAAACTGTGAGTGGAAGGGTCCTGGTTCAATGTTCCTTCTTGTTAGATTTTGCTTAATGAACCTTCTACTGTTATATGGTAATTTCACAGAGATTATATTGACGTATGCAGCATCACAGCCAATTACACCACCTCTAGAAAACAGCAACTGACTCTCCCATTTCAAGAATGACGATGGAAGCAAGGTTGATGGTGGGCTGATAGTTTTTATTTCAGCAACATCTGGAAGATGCATCAGTTGTTACTGCAATGCAGGCACCAGACCTCAGTTTTCTGTACTACAAGACATTTAGGACCTGATCCTGCAAACACTTGTGTATACAGCTTTACTCTCACAAGGAAGTAAGTAAAGAGTATGTTTGCAGCACTGGCCCCTTTTGTTTCTGATGCAGAAAAACTCATTTGAAAACAGAATGATACCAACAGTTCATTGTTTGGAACTTGAAAACATGACTCATTCCTGAATGATAACAGCAACTGCTCATATTCCCCTACTGTAATAAAAATGATTGAAAGCACATGGGCTCACTGTCTATTCATAAGTCAATCTGTACCTACCCCTTTTGAAGCATGAATTCAGAAGCCATAAATCAGCTCAGTACAACTTGCACATACCAGGAAGGAGCTAGGAAGCAGATAGGAGCTAGAAGGGACAGAATAGCTCCTTCCATAGGACACTGACCCCTAAATGCAGCTATGATAATCTGCCAACACAGCAGCTCCGATAAGAGCGCCCATGGCACCAGGCTCTTTCAGTACTTAAAATATTTGTGACAGGGTAAAGCAGAGTGGCATACTAATATCAGATTAAAATAACCTGGCAGAAACTTCTCTCATTAGCGTACCACTGAGTCTTATGCCATCATGTGTTAATCTTTCAGTCAGTCTGGATGGTACCAGTGTGCTTCACACAGCAGCTTGAGGCAATTTGATTCAATAAATAGTAAACTCAAAATAAATCAAGCATTGCAGTGCTCACAGCATGAGACTGGGTCTCTGCCACAAAGGGGATGCACAAACCCTGAAACCAAGGAAGTCTTAAACATCACTTTCTTCATGCTCTACTCAAATGCAAACATACTTTGAAAAAACAAGGGGTTTGCCACTTGGTATCAAAATGCAGATCTGAGATTGGATTCATGAACTGCAGACTGTATAATGCCTCAAAATAAGAGGAAGGTCACATACTCAGACATATTTCATCTGCTTCTGTCTCCTTGCCACCACCTTCTCAGCTGACTGCAAGGTACACTGGAACAACACAAACTGCCAAAAATAAAAATCCCAGTATATGGGGCATTTCAGCAAATCCAACAATTGTGACAAAAAGGCTCAGGTGCTCAAACTGATCAAGTAATTCAGCAAAGCCTAAGCAGGTCTTATTTAACATACAAGATCAAGATACTCATTCAGATGTCCCCATCACACATCCATAGACGCAAACAGGCTATCACAATATCAGTGACTGTGGATAAAGGAGATGAGGACTCACCATATTTTAAGGAGAACTAAAGGCCTATTATTCTGACAAATACAAGATTGAAAGATCCTCCACCGACAGGGAAGAAAAAAAACCAAACACATAGCAAAGGACAATATTCTGATCAGAGGACAACCAAAAGTGTGGGAGTTCTGTCAGCCAATGATACGGTCTCTAAAAACAAACCCCTCCAGATTTAGCCTAGGCAAGGCACAAGGCCAGGTTTTCTAGTGATCTGCACCCAGAATTATAGGCAACTATTCAAAAGCATTCAGTTAAAGAGGGCCAGATCTACGTGAGAGTTCAGGATGCACCAGCTCCCATCATGACACTTGTGAGGAAAACTCATTTCTGAGCATCCAGTCCCAACTGTCACCACACACAAAGGCTATTTCAGCAAGGAGCTTAGGGGCAGAGGCCTCCTGTTTCCTGCTGAGATGAGGCCTATCAGATTAGGAGACACTAGCTGTACTGTTGTTTGAGGCAGGGTGCTTCCTTCACCAAGAGAATAAGCTTCAGGTTTCATCAGAAATGATGCTAAGGGGAGAGGCAAAAAAATCAGGGTTAACCAGGGCTGACAATTTAGTTGAACTAAGGGCTGATGGGGCAGTGGACACAGCAGGACCAGTCTTTTCACTGTAAGCAATAATTGTGGCAGCTAGTCAAAGCATGAGCAAGCGTGAGGTTTGACTGCAGGGACAGCTCTTGGAGACAAGTTGTTCCAGAGGGAACTGCTGCTAATAGGCCAACTTGTTGAATAGTGCTGGAATTTTAACTGTCATTTTCAGCAATGGGCATTAGGTAACACAGAAACAAAATCTGCAGCCCCACTGTTTCTTCCTTTTACATGCTTAAAAACTTTTAAAGCAATTAAATATAATTAAGAACACACAGACCAAACTCAGAGCTCAAGGGCCAAAAAAGAGGAGTAAGGAAGATTTTACCTGGAAGCATGCAATGCCAAAGGAAATGCCAGCCACAATGCCCATTTTAGACTCCATAACTGTTGTTGCCAGAGTGAAACAACCCTGTGATGGAAAATAGTAGCACATGAGAAGAACTCCAGCTAGTACAAGGACGTGCACAAAATTCCTGACCCTCCCTAACACAAAGTGACATGCTCTCCATCCATGGACACAACCCAGAAAGCACCAGTCCACAGGCAAAGGGAACAGTCAATGAGCCCAGGAGGGAATCCACTTCATAGTCAGGGTAAACCTGTGGATTAAGCTGTTTAGCCTTCCTGTAGTTCCTGCATAGGGGTGCCATGAGAATTAAGTAGTACAGAATATGTTATGCGAGCACCTCCCATAACCCCTTCTTTTCTACACAAGACAGGCAGTACAATAAAGGCAAAGTAATCCAGGCATATCTACAGCACAGCTTTCCTGCAGTCAGAGACAAGCACAAAGAGTAGCTGAAACTTAGAGACCTTGACGCGCTGGGAGCAGTTTTGCAAAATCTCTCCCTCCCCACAACAATTGGTGGCAACTCAGACCTTCATCCCATTACTGATTACAAATTTCCCATGGCCCATACATTCTTCCTGGACCCAAGTTCTCCTTTCAGGTTCCTCCTCCCACTGCAGAACCTGACCCTCCAGTGGCGGGGAAAAAGGAGAGCAAAGCACTTAATTACAGCCCCAGCTCTCCAATCCCCACACCTGCTGCCAAGATACATGGATGCATCCATCTCCTAGATTTACTTACATCAACATACACCTTTGTCTTGGCTTTAGCCAGGTCCTTCAAATCATCTTCTGTGCAGTTGTCTGGGAGTCTGCAGCAGCTCTGAGGGATTCCCTTTTCTGTATAGTATGCAGTATTCGTCCAGTCTGAATAGTTTTGGACTCCACAGCAATGCAACTGGGAAAATCAATTTAAGCAGAATGGTAAAGAACAGTAAGTATAGTCTATGAGGCACCATTTCTGTACACATCACTGCAGCACCCAGAGGCTTCCCCATTGTGAGACCTTCCCCTTTAGCAACTCAACTGCTTTCTGAAATTAGCCAGGTCCTTTCTTAACAGTGCAGACCAGGTATTTTTGCCCTCAAGCTCATGTACCTCAGAAATATATATTTCTGGAGAACAGGTACAGAGTTTTTCCATGTAAGTATTTGTCTGCTTGATCCATGCCCCATGGGGAGAGCTGTAGGTCACAGCCAGCCCTCTGTGCTATAAATCATAATGAAAGCTCCTGATATGTGTAATGAATGAGTCAAGGCAATGCTCCTGCCCAATATTCTGAGCCCCCCCATCACTGTAGTAACAGAGGGGAAAGCTGCTGCATACCTCCTTTCATGGGACAACTGCAATAGCTACTTTGATGCAACTTTCTTTGCTAATACCTCACAGAAGAACAGGGCATGCTTGTGCTATAAAAGAAATAAACCAGCAGCCCCAGTCTCATTTTCTGCCCCTCCATAAATATCAGGGTCTTCTAGGCAATAACATGGAGTACATTGGTTCCTTTTACCACTGGTGGAGAAGCCCAATAGAAGCACTCACAGTTTTCTGGACAGCATCCACTGCCTCACTGCGCTGATCCACTGTTGCATTGTAGTTTCTCAATGCTAACATGTAGTTATTCGCAAAGCTATTCTTAATCTGCAAAAAAAATAAGGTCATGGGGCTCAAAAATCAGCAGGTGGGCCCCATCCACAAAAGCTTCATCTTAAAAATCAGCCCCACCAGGAACAGTGGAGCAGGAATCACATAAAATCATTCATGTGCTTATTTAGAAGGGACTGGCCACTATGGAGACATCAGGGGGAACTGCACCCAGCAGCACCAAGCACTGGTACTTAGTGGTTCTATTAAAAAGAAGCCATAATCACAGTGATCACAATAAAAAAATCATGGCTTTGTGTGGAGGCATTATCTAGGGCAAGAGGCACAGGCTGGAACATTCTTAACCTCGCATTTTGGATAAAAGATCAAAACTCACAATTTAATGTCTGTTTTTACAAAGTCAATTAATTTTAGTATGAAGTAGGAAATGTTCTTAGCTTATCAGTGGAAAACCTTCTCCAAGTACTATAAAGGTACAAATAGGAATTAGGTACTTGCCTAATTAGGTGTAGGAATTAGGTGCCTTTGAAAATCTCATCCACTACATCCATTTTTTCTCTCAATACTGATGAACTTTTCTTTTTTACTTCATGAACATTAAACTCTTCTGGGTGTTAAGAGTGGTTAGTTTAGTAAAATATATTATGATTGCATTTCAGAAGCACTGAGTTCAAGGCTAGAGGAATTGTATTTTTGCTAATGTTTCTATCAATTCATTTCCATCCAAGCTATTACAATTAAAAAGGTGGTTCCAAATTTGTCACATTTGATACATTCTAGGATGAGGGTAGGCTTAGCTGACTTAAGGTCCAAGACATGCAAAAGAAAAAATATATAAGGCCATACAGCGAAAGGGAGGAGAACTAGCTGTTTTTGAAGGGATATGCCTAAAAGAAAAAAAGTCAGGATTTAGACCTCACTCCCAATTAGGAACTTTTGGGTGTGGGACCCCTCTGCTGGACCTGTCACTTACTTAAACATGTCCACTTAATTGGTTAGCCTTTTGCAACACAACTTTTTAGTAATGGTCCTAGACGGGTGCGACTGAAAACCTCTCTTACCATCCTTACTTAGGGTGTCAATTTAGACTCAGAAACCAAGTTCATCCCGTTCTCAGTACTGCCATTATAAACTGAGCCCATTCCACAGGAACCACTGATGTTGCTCTAGGTATCTACTGTTGAAACTAGGGGTGCTCAACCTCTGGCCCATGGACGAAATGCGACCAGCGGAGTCATCACATCTGGCCTGCAGGGCTCCCTTTAAGTCAGGAAATTGGGCAGTGGAGGAGTGGTGACAATTAATATGGTCACCATCTCCCCTGCCAAATTCCCAAACCCCATGCTCCACATGGTAGGTTGAAGCTGAGCCATATACACTCCCCTCCCAGCAGCTGGATTTGGGTTGGGCCATGCCCTCTCCCCAACTGCAGGACGAAGCTGGGGCTGAGCCAAGCCCCCTTTCCCTGCATGGCTGGATTGGGGTCAAGCTGTTGCTACCCCACTCCACACACCCAGATAGGGGCTGGGCTGCGCCCACCCTGGGCACGGGACTGGATCCACCAGCCAGACCCAGCCTGTGGAATCTGGTCTGCCAGCCACAGAGGTCATGTACCACTAGTCAAAGCAGAAGGAAACTTTGGCACATGAGGTAGGACAATGAAGGGGTTAGACAGCAAAAGAAAACAAAAAGGTGAGTGTGTGCCCTCTCCTGCGCAGGTGCCACTTCCAGATCCCCTACCTGCACTGTCCTCATGAGGAGAGAAGGGGGGTCCGAAGAGGACTCACCTCATGTCTGAAAACAAATCCCACAATGGCAGCCACCAACACAACCAAAAAGATGAGGGACAGGAACATGGCATACTGTGGGCAAGAGAGAAAATGTCAAGAGAAAGGCACAAAGCACAACGTGCTGCAGACACGACGCGAGTGATGGGAAGGTGTGACCCACATCGGCACTGCTCTGCTGGGCCATGCTGCGCCAGGGGAGCCCGCAGGGCAGGCAGGGGATGCAGGCAGTGCCACGAGTGCACGGGGGGTTGGGGGCCTGACCAGGGGCCCCACTTACCAGCTTCAGCATCCAGACGTTGCCGCGGCAGGTGGCGAAGCAACCGAAGGTGCCGAGCAGGATGACGACGGTGCCGGTGCCCACGAGTACGAAGGGCACGTCGGCGGCCTTCTCGTCCAGCAGGGAGAAGTACGCCTCCAGGCTCACCTTGCCCCACACGCCCACGGCCAGCAGGATGATGCCCGACACCTGGGCAGCGGCGGGGCACGGGCTCAGTGCCTTGGCCCCGCCCCGCCCGGACGGAGGCGAGGAGCCGCCCAGGGCCACCGCGCGCTCGGGCTCGGCTCCCACGCACACGCGCGGGGCGAACAAAGGGTCCCGGTCCCGGGGCAGCCCCGCCCAACCCCCGCGCCGCGCTCACAACCCCCGCGCTCACCCAGAAGACGAAGCTGTAGGTGAGCAGGACGCTCTTGAGGCAGGTGATTACCGGCTTGGTCTGCAGCCGCCGCGACGGGGACGCCATAGCAGCGGCTGGCCCGCCTCCCACCGAGCGGCGCCGAGGAGGCCCGAGGGCGGCTGCCGGAAACGGCCGAAGCCTCTCGGACCTGCGGCCGAGCGCCTCCGACAGCGCCCGAGGGCCCG